CGGTTTCGACTGATTCTCGACTCTCGTTTTTGGATTCGAGAAAGTCGTTCGCGGATTCTCGACTTCCATCTATGAACTTGATAATAGGGTTCGCGGATTCTCGACTTTCGTTTGCGGATTGAAAAAGCGGTTCGTGGAATGTCACTTCAATCTCGGCCTTATGGTCACACCCAGAGAAGACCTGCAATATAGTAGATTTATGGCATGTGCACGTCAAGATGAATAATAAGATAACCACATACAAATGGACAAGGTTAAACAAGGTCTCACTCAAGCGCACTTAGAGAAAATATACACAAAAAATTCCTTTGATTGAAAGTGTAGGGTCTTGTACGCAAATTGATACCAACACATACTTTAAGCAAACACAATCACCCTCAGTATACACACGCACAGGTATTCTCCATAAACGAATACATAGGGAATAGGAATAAATATTCTAAAATCCAAAACACATAGGCTAGGATGGCTACATATTCCTCAGTAAAAATACATATGAAAACATGAACGTAAACATGCGCATTAATATATCACTAAATCAACTATAACTTTTCACGTCCCACTAAAATGCTTCGTTCTTGTTGAATCTCCGGAAGACGTGAATATCGTTTCACTTCACTGCAATATAAATATGTATTTATGAAAATTCCAAGCCATGTGAAAGTAGACGCATAATAAACTTTTCGTTAAATCACCATAAAAAACTATTAGAGATAATTTAACCCCTGATCATGAATTTATCACATTACGGGATCTATTATATTTTATCATTCTCTTTCATTCTTCAAGAGAATCAGTTACACCTCTACATGAAAGCTTAAGTAAAGTAAAATAAAATAAAGAAGATAAAGAAAATATGCAAAACGTGTCCAGTGATAATGAAGGGATTATAAGATGTAAATAATAAACAACGACGATGGTAAAGTATCTTCAGTTAAGATTTAATGATACATTAAGATGAACATAAAGGTAATGATTCTCGAAGATGCACGAGGCGAAGCTTTTTCCCATCGGAATTCCTGCGCTTTGGCCCTCTACCCACCGCCATTTCGGGATGTCATCAGCTTGGCTCCGACGTCACAAGAACTAACAAATAATGATGTGCATTCTCTCTATTTTTTGTACTGATAGTCTATTTCTTTTCTATTAATCTATTTTTTTTGTGACAATGGACATTTTTTTCTGTTGAATCATTCTCTATATTTTTGTGCCAATAGACAATTTCTTTTCTATTAATTCGTTCTTTGAGTTCTGTGAATTAGCGAGGACCTTGAGAGTAGTGTCGAGAGGGATGGATGGAGGGAGGAGGGAGGGGGAGGGGAGGGGAGTAAGTGGGGCAAAACTTGTTGCCTTTTTATATATTATTTCTCTAGGTACTTGCCGTGGTCCGAGCAATCGACTAATCCTACAAAACACTTTTTCCTAGCTTTAAAGCGATCAGAATTACGAAAATTACGTTTTAATTTCTTGATAGCGGCCATGTTCCTTCATGTTACTTGCTTACCATAGATTTCTCCTTCATTTTTACTATCTCTACCATCTGTGTAAAAGGCTAACTTTGCTGGACACAAGAAAAGCTGAACAATATGGTGAAGTTGCTAAGAGAAAAGCCTTCAAAGACAGCTTTAGTAAATTCGTATTGATAATGATAAGGAAAGATGGTGATTATGATTCCATAGATAATAACGGTAGGTTATCATATTGACGATGATCATAACAACGGTAAGTGATAAAGATGACAGAAGGAAAACAGAAAACGATTGGATTCTCGTGATCAAGATAATAGTAATGAAAATGATGATGATAAAGATTATAATGATAATGATGATAATAAGTTATGGCAATTATAATGATATCAATCATCACAATAATATCGAGAATAATAATCATGATAATAATAGTAGTGATGATTATGATAACAATGATAAGGACATGAACAGTAATGATAATAATGATAGTGAACATAATAATGGTGATGGTTGATAAGGATAATAGCAATAACAATGACAATGATATAGTAATGATAACAATAATAATGATAATAGGATATTAATGATATTGTTAACAATAATAGTGATAACAACAACAACAACAACAACAACAACAACAACAATAATGATGATAATACTGATGATAATAACATATGTGTTAATAATGATAATGATAATATTGTAATGATAATAATGGCAATAATGATGATGATGATAATGATAATAATAATCACAATGATAATAATGATATGATAATAATATAATAATAATAATAATGATAATGATAATAATAACAATATAATAATGATAATATTGATAATAACAATGATATTAATAATAATGAGAGTAATGATAATGATAATAATGATATTAACAATAACGATAAAAATGATCATAACGATAATAATAACAATAATAATAATAGCAGTAATAATGGTAATGATAATGTTTAAAGTAAAAGTGATAGATATGATAATGACAATAATATTAATGATAATGATGATGAAATAGTAATAATGATAATGATAATAACAATGATAATAACAACAATAATAGTAAAAATGATTATAATCACAATAATAATAAAATGATGATGATAATAACAATAATGATAATAGAAATGATAACTATAATAATGATAATGATGATGATAATGATAAATATAATAGTAACAATAATATTAACAAATATATCAAAATAGTATCAGTAAGGAGAATAACAATATAAAAAATAACAATAATGATAACTAATAGTAACAATAACAATATAAACAAGATCAATAATAATGATAACAATAGTTATAATCATAATAATAGTAATAATGATAATAATGATAATAAGGATGATAATGATATTAACAATGATAATAATCATGATAATAGTAATAATAATATTAATAATGATAAAAGTAATAATAATAATAATGCTAATAGAACAATATTAATAATAATGATAACAATAATAATAATATAATAATGATAATAATGATAATGATAATATAATATAGTAGTAATGATAATAATAATAATGATAATAATAACACTGATAACAATAGTAACAACAACAACAATAATAATTATAATGATAATAATAATAATAATAGCAACAGCAACAATAATAATAATGATAAAAAATAATGACAAAAATAATGATGATGATAATAATAATAATATTAATAATAATGATAATAGTAATAATGATAATAATAATAATAAATAATAATAATGATAATGATAATAACAATAATGATAATAATAATAATAATAATAATAATAATAATAATAATAATAATAATAATAATAATAATAATAATAATGATAATAATAATAATAATAATAATAATAATAATAATAATAATAATAATAATAATAATAATAATAATAATAATAATAATAATAATAATAATAATGATAATAATAATAATGATAATAATAATAATAATATAATAATAATAATAATAAATAATAATAAATAATAATAATAATAATAGTAATAATAATAATAATAATAATAATAATAATAATGATAATAATAATAATAATGATAATAACAATAATAATCATGATTATCATTATTATTGTTATCATTATCATTATCATTTGCGGCATTAGTATCATCATCTTAACACCAAGAACTGAAGAAATAGACATAATAAAAACTGGAAAAACCGAATAGTGACCCCGTAAAAGCGTCTCAAACACGTTTTGTTTACATGACGAAAGAACACACATGGCAAGTGGACGTCAGCGGATCGGCCTTTACACAACCTGATGATCATTCGTGTGTAAGTTGCTGAGACTAATAAGGATTTTTTTTTTATCTCATTGTATTTGATTATCTGATGAGTTGGAGGTGATTGGTAGGGCATTCTATGGTTGAGGTGTTTTCTTTTATTTTTTATTATGTTGCATCGTATGATCCCAATAGGGTAATAATCGCTGCATTCTTGGTATAAAAATAATGAAAGGAAAGCAGGTAGATTTTCCTATCTTTGATATATCACTGTTAGTTGGATGAGTAATAATGCAAGATTGTGAATGAGGGCATCTAATTGATCTTCATAGATATTCTATCACCCACCAGGAAAGCATGTTGATAACAGGAGTACATGAAGAAATTTCTTTAGCCTCCATACCTTCGGCGCCCAGGCAAGGCCAAATAATTCTCCACCACATATTCTCCAAAAATCTTAGACTGATTCAAATATATATAGTGGTGAATTGTGAAGGAACTGCAATTTTCATCCTTAAATGTGCAGTGTAGGCTGGAAACACTTTGTTGAGTAGTCCTTTAATCTTCTCTCCAATATTAAGCTTCTCAAGTTTCTGTGTGGTTTAACCTAAGCCATTCCTTATTACAGAAATAATGTGTTTTATCTTTACAGTATGGATGCACTAAGTTTGGATATTCTGTTAGAGGACAAAAAGTTGCAGTTGTCGGTACAAGAAATAATCTGCAATCATGAACAGTAATGCCACATTTAAAGGAAAAAGGTCATCGAAAGCACCACTATCAGCCAAAGTCCATGTGGTGCTCCCAAGTCTCAGCTTTATCTTGCCATGCATGCTGAGATAAAGGGGGGCAGAGTCCTCAATCAGTATATATATTTTTTGATGGGGAGTTGGTGCCTTTGTCTCTAGCAAGTGCATCCATACTGTAAAGAATTACCATATATGTAATTTGAATGAAAACTTCACTAGTGGAGAGTCAAGTGCCAGATCATTTGCATGGATTTGGATTCTCATAAGGTTGATATCAGAATATACTATTATCCTTTACCTCTGTGGATTGGTTAAAACAGTGCCTGTCATTTCAGTTCATTTATAAAGCAGAATTCTTTATTTTTGTCTATCTTTGTACAGTTGTATAGGTGACAATTATGAAAAGCATTATCACTGAAGCAGTTGAACTCTAGCTCTACCTTTTTGTTTTTGGGTGATTTGAGTTCATGCATATGTATATAACCTTTTAAGTAGCCAATTATTATTTTGAACTTTTTCCTTCAGGTAA